TTACCCATTCCCCCACGAACCCAAATATATAATTTGTTTTGAAATCGGACCTCATATCGAGGTCCAAATCCCCAATTTTTGAAAAACCTAGGTTCTACCCAAAACACCCAATTCTCCCATGAAAATCTTTGATTTTAGGTTGAAATCATGTTAAAAGATGTTAATGATTGAAAGAAATGAGTAAAAACTAACTTACAATTGATTTGGAAGAAGACTTGTTGTTGGAAAATCGCCTAAGTGTGTTTGGGTTTGAGAAAATATGAAAAATGAAGCTCAAAATCGTTTAAGTGTAAAAAATTGCAGGTCTCTGATATGGGAAATGCGAACAGGGGTCCGCAATTGCGAACCCCGACCTCTGCAGATATGGGAATTGCGAAGCTTAGTTCGCATTTGCGAACCCTTCCAAAATTCCGGACCTACGCATTTGCGAGGCCCATGTCGCATTTGCGATGGTCGCATTTGCGACATAAGGATCGCATTTGCGATCACTGGCCAACATGGGAGATTTCGCATTTGCGAAGAAAGTTCTCACATTTGCGAGCTTGCATTTGTGAGCCAGGCTTCGCATGCAGGTCAGTTCATACCAGCAACTTTTTAAGTTCAAAAATGCACCCCGTGGCCTATCCAAAACTCACTCGAGCCCTCGGGGCTCCAAACCAAATATACCCACAACCTCAAAATATCCTACGGGCTCATTGGTGCGATCAAATCGCCAAAATAACATCATAAACATCGAATTAAACCTCAAAATCCAAGAATTCTTTCAAACTTCATAAAACATCAAATTTCCCAATTTAGGTCCAAATCACGTCAAACGACGTCCGTTTTCAACCAAATTTCACAGGAATGACTTAAACATTATATAAAACATGTACCGGGCGCCGGAACCAAAATACGGGCCCGATACCAACACGTTCTAATCAATTTTCATTTCAAATTTCCTTAAACAATTTCAGAAAACAATTTTTACAAAAAAATTCATTTCTCGGGCTTGGGACCTCGGAATTCGATTCTGGGCATACGCCCAAGTCCCATATTTTCCTACGGACCCTCCGGGACCGTCAAATCACGGGTCCGGGTCCGTTTACCCAAAACGTTGACCAAGGTCAAATTTATTCATTTTAACATCAAAACTTAGCATTTTTCACAGAATTTCATATTTAAGCTTTCCGACTACGCACCCAGACTGTGCACGCAAATTGAGGCAACTCTAAATGAGGTTTTCAAGGCCTCGGAGTTATAGAATTCAATTAAAAACAGGTGATGACCCCTTTGGGTCGTTACATAAAGAACTGAAATTAGAAAATCGAATTGAACCGAACTTATTTCAGTTCGGTTTCGGTTACTACTTTTACAAAACCGAAAACCAAATAACCGAACCAAATTTCTTCAACCCGAACCGAACCGACCAAACGCCTACCCCTAGCTTTACCTATTGCATTGGTCCGACACTGTACTGAGGGCACTTGTGAAAAACTAAACAGCAATACCTCAGATGCCAAATTAATCTACATTAATGCTTATGGCATTTTTCAAGATTTAATTGACAATCCCTCTGTTTTTGGTAATTTTGCTCCTTCTCAACTATTTCTTTTTAATATACTCCACCTAATCCATATTATTTGGCTTAAGACACTAATCTTACCACTTAATTAATACTTTACTAATGAAAACAATAATGGTAAAGTTTAGGGGGGAAAGTTAAATGCAACTTTATTATCTGGCTTAGATATTATGTACCCCTTTTTCCTCATTACTATCATTTTCTCAAATCCAATAAAATATGTATCAATTAATATGGGTATCATGATAAATTATGCACTTCATTTATTATTTCTTAAGGGGCGTGAAAAGTTAAATCATGCTAAGTAAAAGTGAACGGAGGGAGTATTTCTTTCTTATTGTTCGTATGATGTAACATACTCTGAAATTAGTGTGATTTCACTTGCTTCTTATATAGTATGCATTTCACCAAACTGTGGATAACGTTACAAATCACGAGTAACTATTGTGCTTATCTATTACTTGTTTTTTTTTTTTCAAAAATAATTTTATTGTATTACGGGTTCAAACCGTAAAAGCAGCCACTAATGCTTGCATTATGAAGATATTCAACGCTTAGTACAATTATGAAGATAAAAATGGTTAAATATATAAGAATTATCTACATTCTTAGTGTATAATTTTTTATTAATTATATATGGCTATCATTAATCTTTATTTTTCAGAGTTATTATTTAGTTTAATTCTGTTTTTCCACAAATGCTATATTATGTCACTACTACAAAAAACGAGAATTTTCGATATCTATTCATAATTTAAAAAATTATATGCACAAATGAAGGCAAGGGGAATTCAATACCTAGAGTATATATATAAAAATTAATTTTTACTTATCTAAACAGTTTAATTTTCAGCGAATAAGTATCAACGGATCCCCCTTGAAGCTATGTAGCTCTGCCACTGGGTCCGCCCCTTTGTCGGTTGTGGTCACGTCTTATGGGATTTAAGTCGTGACACTAGTTTCCAGCTTTTTGGCCAAACATGCTATTACTCAATTTCAATGGCATATTCTAATTGTGTCGTAAATTTTCATTCTAGAAATGTGCTCTAATTTAGACGTAAGTGAACCAAATTAAGAAAAACTACGTCTCTCGTAATTCCTATTTTGATCCTGCAGAGAAAAGATACCTAAAATTTGACAAGACGAGCTAATTAAAAAGTCATTCAATTCTAAAGGCATTGTACTTTTAATCTTGAATTAATGTTCATTAATTACTTGACCAAACTCTAAGTGTAGTGAAGGCTTGAAGAGCCAAACAAGTTAACTAACTATCTAGTTTATTATAAATATATAGGGATTTAAAGTCTAACTTTACGTCTTGCCATGGAAATTTCTACATTATTCCTATTCGTGCTTGCATTTCTATCACATTTTCCTCGCCTAATCATTTTTCCGAGCGGTATATTCAAAATTTAAATTATTTGGGTTCAACCTTTAATGTTCTTCGCGCTGAACGAATTCTAGAATTATGAGTTTATATCTAACAGTTGTACTTTTAGTGAATTTTTACATATAAATTTATGTTTCGCATCAAAAGTACTAAGTTCATATCGACCTGGTATCACAGTTGGCTTGATTTATAGTGCCAATGTCTAGAAACAATGGAGTGGACTTGAGAATTCAGAATTTATTAACTACATCAATCTTGCTTTAAGAGAAAAGGAAAAGGCATTACCACTTAGTTATATATGATTAATGAATCTCAAAATATTTGATTCTTTTTATGATTTTATGTCCTTAATCGTTAGCCACATTGCATAACATTCTTAAAAGTGAGAAACATAAAATAAAAAGAGCAAAAAAAAGGTTTGCATATTCTAGAAGACCGCAAAATCCTTTGTGAGGATTGAATTCATTGCTATTTTTGTTCATTAGTCAACTAATTAGGCAATAGTTAGGATGTACAAGAAGCATAAATATAAAGTGCAGGAAAATAAATGATAAAGCAATATTTTTATACTGGTTCGGTATTAGTGTGATATCTTAATTCAGTTCTCTCGATCGCAAGGAGGTTTCCTTTAGCTCGTTTTGTTTCATTTAAAGAGCATGTGATTAAAATAGCTGATTTTTTTGTTCTCGTTCACCAACAAACGATTTCTTCCGATTTATAACTTACGAAAGAAACTATTCATGACACACAATTGAATCTCACGATATTTTTTACTCTCTTTTCTTTTTTATCACTACAGATCTACAAGAATTGTGTAATACAGAGCTTTGAGAAGAATAATTGAAGTACAATAGTTGACGTCATGGTTAAGAAGGGAAACCTTGGAGTAACGATAAAGTTGTCTTCGTATGACCTATAGGTCATGGGTTCGAACCGTGAAAGAAGCCATTAATGCTTGCATTAGGGTAACCTGACTATACTATGCCCCTTAAGTATGGCCCTTCTTCGGACCCTGTGTAAAAACGAGATAGTTTATATGCATGGGGTTACCCTTTTTTATTGAAGTCATAGTTAAGTAATTTTCCATGACATGCATGTTACGTAGAGATAGTGCTTTCCATTTGGCAACTATGAGATTTTCCTCAAGATCCGTTTACTTTGACTTTGGGATCTTAAAAGTGATTTTTGTAATACTTTCTTTGCTGTCATTGATTTACTTTTGTGATTTCTTGTAACTGCATATCATTTGATTTGTCAATCTTTCCTATTCATTACAGGTTGGTTATTTGTCGGTGTTCGAAAACTCTCAGTCAAACGAGTATTTTATAGAGAATCGACAAGAAATTCTATTAATAAGATAATAACTAACTGTTTTGATTTTTTGAAACACCTCGACAAATTTAGTAGATCATATACGAGGCCTTTCTTTATTGTGACATTCTTTTATTAAGCTATTATGGTGAGTTCCTATCATATAGTTACTAATCAATTACTTTGTATTGTCATTATCAAAATGAGACTTAACATCTTTACTCTCTAATCTCTATCTAAAAAGAAATTTAATTAGCACGATAAAGAATACCTCTAGGGCAAAAATAGCCCAAGAGGAGCGTACCACTCTAAAAATCAAATTTATTGAAGTGTGCGACCATTTCATCAAAGAGTTTAAAATTTTATGCGAGATGGTCAGTTAGTCAAAAAATTTAAAATGGTATTAGAAAATATAGAGTTTCTGATTTGACTCTCACCGTCATTCATTATCAAAGAGACTTTTCACGTGTTTATCTCGTAAAAAAGAATCAACCTTGCATGTAAAAGGACATGTTGAAGACGAGTAAATAAAAGTATATTTTTTTTAATAACTTACAGTTTTACGTGAAATGGTCGGACACTTCAACGAGACTTTTGAAACTTCTATTAAAATGAAAAAAAAAGTCTCCCCTACATCCTTATGAAACAACAACGTGATTTTTTTTTTTTTTAATGTCACTATAAATAGGTTGTCTTTCACTTATTCTCATCACCATTCTTCTTTGATTTCTTCAATCAATTCAAGAATGTCTTTAATATGGTTTATTTTAATTATTTTAATACTCATTGTGAGCTCAAAACCAATGGTTAAAGGGGAATCACTAGTGCCTTGTTACTTCATATTTGGAGATTCTGTAGTTGATAATGGAAATAACAATAATCTTACAACAACAGCCAAAGCCAATTATCCACCTTATGGTATTGATTTTCCTACTGGTGTTAATGGAAGATTCACCAATGGCCGCAATAAAGCTGATTTTTTTGGTTTCTTTCTCAACCCTTCTCTTTTTTCGTTCTTTCTTTTGCTTCCTTGAATGAATGCGAGATGCTTTATGTACCGGTTTACTCTTTTTACTTCAATCTTTATCTCCCTCGCTCTCTTTGTGCACGTATATAATGTGATGTTATAGGCAGGGGAAGAGATGTTATACTGATGAGATTTGAACCCTCGACCTAATATAGAAGGTTGATGCTCACCGAATTAGCGGACCCTCAAATCCCTTTCTCTTGACTTTTGATAAGGGCGACCGAGGATTCTTGGTCAAGAGGAGATTGGTACTAGTAGAGTCGCATTCAATACCGTCTTTTTGCCCTTTCAGTAGTAATCATATCGGTCATAAGGTGGTCTGCCACCTCGGTTGGAGAGAAAAGCTTTTGTTGTGGAAAAATTACTTTCCTGAACTTTTTTAATTGTATTATACTGATGAGATTTTAACCCTCTACCTAATATAAAGGTTGATGCTTACCGATTTAGCTGACCCCCAAATCCTTTTTTTTTTCTAACATTGATAAGGGCAACTGAGGATTCTTGCTCTAATGAGATTGGTGTTGGGTGTGCGAACAAAGTCCCACATTGGTAGCTGAAAAGATTGGGAGTCTACATATAAGGTGTAGGGATCTCTTAATGGTGTGAGGCCTTTTGGGAAAAACCGTGCGGGCTTGGCCCAAAGCGGACAATATCACACCATATTAAGAGTGTACTTGGGCTAGTTTAGCCCAACAATTGGTATTTGTTGTCTTTTTGCTTTATTAAACACTTTTCTGTGAGAGCTCACTCAATATTTTTTAAAACTTTTGCAAAGTTCTCCTTTTCTTAGAGTGAGTTAGTTTTGAATGAAAGTAGGTTTCATCGTGACTTGCATCTAGATAGGATAAAGGTACTTTCCTAATGATTTTTTTTTTTTTAATTTTTGCTACAGAAGATATCATACATATACTATTTTATATGAATCATATTACATTATAGGGACAATTTGTGAATTTTGTATTTTCAAGGTCTTGAATATCTGTAGTACTCCATCTGTCTCAAGTTATATATGTGTCAAACTTTCTTTTTTAATCTGTTTCAAAAAAATATATATTTTTTATTTATGAACAATTTGACTTCAAACTTTTTATTTTACACTTAATGGGATAATTTAAAGTCACACCAAATATTTATGGATTGTTTTAAACCACATATTCCAGAAGTCTTCATTTCTTTCTTAAATTTTGTGCCGTGTCAAAAACAAAGCATCTTCATAGCATCTTCCTTTGAGTTCATTTCTTCCCAATTTTTCTGCAACCTGGTATCTCTCCCTATATATGGCATATGGTTATTTCTTCTAAGCTAAAATGATCTTAACTTTTATACATTTACGACATATATATATATATATATATATACGTTAAAATTCTTGTAAAATAATTACTAAGTGGTATTAAGAATATAGCATCTTTTTTACCTTTTGTGCAGCTGAACTCCTAGGATTTGATAGTTTCATTCCGCCATTTGTATGTGCAAGAGGCAAAGAAATCCTCAAAGGTGTTAATTATGCATCAGGAGTTGCTGGAATTCGTGATGAGACTGGCTATCAATGGGTAAAAACTCCTTGTCACCAATTTTAATTCTGTTCTTCATATGTTTTCAATTAGTAGCCAAAAAAAAAATGGATAGCCCGGTGTATAAAGCATCCCATATTCTCACATGGTCCGGGTAAGGGTTGCTTGCCCGCACTTCAAGGGACGTGATGTAGACCGTTTACACTAATGCAAGCATTAGTGGTTGCTTTCACAACTCGAATCAGTGACCTATATGTCACACGGAGACAACTTTAACACTACTCAATTAGTAGCAGTCAACCATAATATATTATATTGTACTCGTTGTCCCAGCCAGTGTAAAAAATTAAAGAAAACTGTTGACATATAAGTCAAATTTATCAAAATTATCCTTTTAAATGAACGGTGGTGATAGTTTCACATGTCTTTTTGTTTCCTCTCTCCTTTAAAAGGATGAACTTATATATTAAGTGATTCGTAACAAGCCATGTCACTAAGGATAAAATAGGAATACTAAGATTAAGGTAGCGTTTGGACATAGATTTGATTGAAACTTGAAAAAAGAGTTTTTGAAGTTGTGTTGAAAAATAATTTTTGAAAGTTAAAGTTTTGTTTGGACATGCATTTTATTTGAAGAAAAGTCAAAGTTTTATGAGTGGAAGAAAAAATTTCACCTAAAAACTGCCCTAAACCAGTATTTGGAAGCTTGAAATTTTTTGAAATTTTTTTCCAAAAATACGATCATACTTCATAAATAAACAATGTTTTCTCAAAAAAATTGACAAAAAAAAAGGTCAAAATCTTTGACCAAACAGGAGCTAATAGTTTCCAAAAATAAAAGGGTGTCATTCGTACATATGCCAAACAGGAGTTAATACATATGCTGGTAAGTATTTGACATGTGTTATCTAGGGGTCGTTTGGTATGGTGTATAAAAATAATGCGGAATAAGGTGTATTAGTAATGCATGTATTAGTAATGCATGTGTTAGTAATGCAAGCATTAGCTATGCAAATATTATTTCTTATCTATTGTTTGGTGTGATGTATTAAAACTATAATGCATTGTATAATTTTTAAGAAAAATAGTTGTTTACAAAAAAGCCCTCCATATTCTCTAGCATTAAGGGACTTTAAGGACAATTTTGTCTTTATCCATACTAATGCATGCATTAATAGCCTTGGTATTAGTTATACACATGTTGAAAAAATGTACCAAACAAGATATTAGTAATGCATAAAGCTAATGCTTGCATTATTTTTTCTAATACCTCATACCAAACGACCTCTTAGTGGATGAAGGATTTTCACCTAGGTGGATTTAAAAACAATGCTAAACGATCACGTACACTCTATTGCGATCCTTATCCGAACCCTGCATGAATGCGGGATACCTTGTGCACCGAACTGTTCGCCTTTTTATTATATTATTATTATTACAATTTTCACTACATTGCATGGAATTGAGATTATACTAATTCCTTTGAAAATGACTATTTTAGGGTGATCGGTGGAGCATGAATAGGCAACTACAGAATCATCTTTTTACAGTTTCAAGAATTATTTCTATATTTGGAAATGTTACTTCAGCTAAAGACCTCTTAAGCAAATGTTTGTACACTGTTGATATGGGCAACAATGATTACCTCAACAATTATTTACAGCCCCAGTTTTACCCTACGAGCCTTTTGTATACACCAAATCAGTTTGCAACAATCCTTGTTCAACAATTTTCTCAACAATTAAAGGTTTGTACTATTAATTTCTTCCTTTTTTTTTTTCACATTAATCTTATCTTCAAATAGGAGTGGCCGGGTTGAAGGGCTAGCTCGCTTCGTGGGCTTTTTGCCTTCCGCAGTTGAGGTGGAGGGTTTAAACCCCGTTATTAGTAGGCATTTCAGTCCCCGTCCTCCCCCCCCCCCCTCCCCCCTCACCCCCCACTTGATGTAAATAATCACTACTAAAAAAACTGGAATTAGCTACGAACATCGTCGCTAAATCGGTCATAGCTAATAGAATTCTTTGATAATCTGTCGTTAATCTGTTGCGAAGTAGGATTAGCAACAAATTTTTCTGTTTTGCTACAGAATTTGTCCGTTACGAATTTCTATTTTTTGGGCTATTATCACTTTTAGCCCGCGCCGGAAACTATTTACATCTGGCAGCCGAAAAAGTGTATAATTTTTGTATATAAGATACAAAATGTATATATATACAAAAAAAATACAAATTTTATATATTTTTTCGGCTTTTATTTTACAACAACTATATAGTGTCATTTTTCCTATTGTTTTAGTAGTTTTTCTATTAAAAAAAAAACAAATAGGATGGCAAAATTGGGCTAGGAATATTCATGATGGGTCAATTTGAACACTGGCCAAGTTAGTCCCATCTTAATGACATAGACATTAGCGATGGTAGCTAATTTTGGATATTCAGCCGTAAAAATGGCTATGCCGTGGGAAAATTCTATTTTGTGTCTCAGATTTTTGTGGACCCAGAAGTATAAGATTGGGGTCCACAAATTTGTGAGACAAAAAGGAACCTCGCACAACTAATGTCAGTTGTGTGACGCACACAATAAAACTACTCCTATGTCGTGCCATTTTTGTTGTGTTGATTCGGGTGTAAATAAGTAGCCCAAATTGACATATAAGAAAACTTGTCAAAATATTCTTAAATTTTTTTGTTAGATATAGCCATAATAAAGAAAAAAAATTATTAGTTGTATTTGATTATTAAATAAATTTATAAGAAAACAAACAAATAAATTAAAACTTGGTTCAAGTTGGGGGGTTGAATTACGATCCATTATTTAGCTCATCTTGATCCATCTTATTTTGGCCGAAATAACCTTTGAGCGGGTTATTACCAATTCAGCCTATTTTAACCCGTCCAAATTTAGTCGTCCGACCCCGCTTATTCGACACCCTTGTCTTCAAATATTTTGTTGAATTAATTAATTTTTTATATTTTAGACTTTGTATAGCTATGGAGCAAGGAAGGTGTCTGTGTCAAATATTGGTCTTTTAGGTTGCTTGCCAGAAGAAATGGAAGTGTTTGGAAGAAATGCATCTGGATGTGTTGATTTCATAAATAATTATGTGAAGCTGTTTAATGACAAACTCAAGCTTCTTATTGATGATTTGAACACTAATCTTCCTAATGCAAGGTTTATTTACATAAATCAGACTAGCATTTCATCTGGGGGTCCCTCACCTGTTGGTAAGTTTACATATTTTTATTCTTTCTAAAATGAGTTTAACTTTTATTGTTAAAAGAATTTCGGAGTATCATGTCACTTAAAAGATAACTACAATTAGAATATATTAAAATATTTTAAATATGTAAAAAATTATTTGTTCTATCAATACATATACGCTACCTTCGCGTATCGGCCCCATACTTCTTTGATCTCCCTTTCTGCTGACGTAAGAAAGTGACACGGGCTTGGCCAGCTTTTTTCAAACTTGACGGTCAAGTTCCCTGCTACTTTCTAAATTCTTTTAACATAAATATACACTCCTTTTCTAGCTTATATGACAATATTTCCTTTTAGTCCGTCCAGAATGAACGATAGTTCTCCAAAACTGAGCCAATTTAATTTATACTCTATTAGTTTCAATTATATGATGTACTTTGATTTAACAGGGCTTAAAAGGACTTTTAAAACTTGTGATCATTAACATGTTATAACTTTATATCAAGTGTATGGTTATAAGGCGTTTGAAAGCCTTGTACTTTTAAACATGTCATGACATTTGTGTTATAAAATATTTTATTAAAGGTAAAATAAGTAGTTTAAAATTAATTATTTTCATATATAAAAATATATCATTCTTTTAGGAATGAACTAGTAAGTAAATAATGTCACATGAAATGAAACAGAAAAAATAGTGATTAATATGACAAAAGTGAAGAAAGTTTAACATAATGAGACAGAGCTAAATGGCACAATAGTCTAGCGGTCCGGTCCTCTCCCGAACCCCGCGCATAGCGAAATCTTAGTGCACCGGGCTATCCTTTTAGTCTAACGGGATGTAATTATTTTTGATTGACCGGTTAAATGTGTAACTTGCCCAAAAGCTTCACCTTAGCCTTGGCCCCCCTCATTGCCAACCCTACCCCAGGTCTTCCCTACTAGAAAATAAATTCTCTTATACTATAAAGTGAAATGGGTGAACTATACTCCACATGTCCTAATTTTTCGATAATAAAGGTGTATATTTATCCTTCAACTTTTGATTATGGTATAAAATTACCCTTATGTTGGATCTTTGTTAAGGGTCAAGAGAAAAATGTGACCTTTTTCTAACAACAAAGATGATATTAGACCAAAAATTTAAAGGAAGACAATCAATTTTGCTCCATTTAGAATCGGCTATATTAATCCTCACTAACTATATTCTTCTAATAAATTCATCTTAATCCAACATTATACAAAATAAAAATAAAATGCAAGTGAAGTCATTTTCATGTTCATTAAAGTCACGAGCTCGAGCCGTGAAGCAGCCACTAATCATTGCATTAGGGTATGATGTTTACATTACACCCCTTGGAGTGCAGGCCCTTCCCCGAACCCTGTATGAACGTGAAATGTTTTGTGCACCGGACTGACTTTCGTTACGATACATATATATACGGTCTTTACACAAATAGCCATCCGAATTCACCGTTTAGTTGTTGTAATCAATACGCATAAACTGACTATACGTGGTTATACATATATTATACATGAATTATACATATATTATACATCCGCTAATTATTTTTAATTTAAGCAGTTAGGTGGGTGGCTACTTGGTTAATTCTTGTATTTGGAATTTCAGGATTTACAGTGGACTCATCATGCTGCATAACATCAGACACTATAGCCAAAGGACAATGTCGTAAAGGTGAAGTTCCATGCAGTAACAGGAATCAGTATATTTTCTTTGATAATTTTCACCCTGCAGAAATTGCAAATATGGCCACTGCTAGAAGATCATTTACTGCTTTGCTACCGTCCGATGCATATCCAATGGATATTAGCCAATTGGTGCAAACTTAAAATTAATCTATGTGTTAATTCCTCTACCACAAGACATGTTGGTTACACAAATATAAAGAGCCAACTAGTATTAATGTGCTTGTTCTGCCCATTTAACACACAGTAAAATAAAATTCAATGATATACAAGTTTGTCTTTTGAAGCTATAATCACCATTTACTAAAGCCAATTCTTTTCAATACCTTCGAAGAACTTATTTAAGATTTTAACTTGATGAGTTAAGACTTTAAAGATTATTATGATTGAACTCATCGCATTAAAATTATGTATTCTGTTATAAATAGAATTCTATTTAAGGTGAATGTCTATATTTAGAGAGATTCTAGAGTTTATTATTTGGTGGCTAAGTCACCCTCTCCCTATAAATAGAGGGTTCTATTCCATTGTAATTCATCCCAAAATATTAATAAGAATTCTCTCTCCCCACATTTCCCAGCAATACTTTTCTTCTTCTTTTATTGTTTCATAACACGTTATCAACACGAGACTCCAAACAATTGAGTAGAAGCTTTGGGATTGAGCATAATGATTGTCAATTATTCCATGAACTTCCTTCATGATTAAATTTTAGATTTAAGGTAAGTATTTTACTTTATTTTACTCTTTTATATTCTTGAAATTCAATAATTTGATTTTATATACAAGCAAAGACAATAAAGTTTGATTATAACTCTAATGGAGTTTGAAAGAAATTATAACCACCCAAAGTGGTAAAATTTCTATGTCTTTCCATGATCAAATTCATGTATGATTATGGGCACAAAAAGTGGAAACCCGTCCCATTGAATTTGCTCCATTCTCATTCCCTTAAGAGAATGTGATAGCAGTATGTGATAAGTCTGAAAGAAGACAAATTATCACTATCAATATATCAATGGATGTGGACGTGGCAATAGACGAAATTATAATCGTCATCATTGTGATAATGAGAATAATAAGGATTCTCAAAATAAACCTTCACTCTGTGAAAGTAAAATTTGTCATCGATTTGACATGAGATTTTATTAAGCACATATAGATGATTATGATCCATTCATGATGTGAATGTGACAACATCTGATTTATGAATACATATTCATTCTTCAAAGAATATAAACGTGCTAGTGGTAGTGAATATACCACGCTCACCTCTAGAAGGAGGTTTGAGAGAAAATAAGAAAATAATGTCATTATTATGGCATAAATGGTCATTGGTCACGTACTTATTGTACGCCAAAATATTTTGGCATTGTGATTATTAAAGGACAATGGTAATGCAAGAAACATATCTTGCACATAATTTTGACCATAATCATAATGGTATAACTTTCTCTTTAAAAGAGATATTCACCATATGGATGTTGATGAATATGTGGTACTATAAAATTAATTGAGAACTCTGCAAGAGCCAATTATACTATTTTGGAGAAACAAAATTGATTACCAATAAGGTATTGTGTTGTAGTAAGTCTCAAAGAAACTTATCCAGTTTCCAAAGTATACGCGAAAGCGATTGATTATATTGAGACCATAAATAAAGGAAAGATTTAATATCTTCTATTACTACAACTTGTAGCGGGGTAATATGTATGTGAAAAGCTACCCGCTTTATTCTCCAGTTTGTACTACACAAACAAAAGAATGCCACAATTAAAGGAAGTTTATTGATATAAAAACTCATATCATAATAAACTTGGAGTTTATTGATAATTGCACACGTCATGGTGTAAATCTGAAGTTTATCAATATTGATAATTTATTCAGTTGGCATAATTGGTTTACCCATATCAATTTAAGTATGATGTGCAAAAATAACAGAAAATTCACATGGGTAAATATTAAAGAACTAGAAAGTTCTTTACGAATTCTCTAATGTTGCTTGTTCTCATTAATTAATAGATCAACTAAAATTGGGATTGAATCCCGTGAATACTGGAAATATCAAAGGTGAATATGGGCCCATTCACCTGCCATGTATACCACATAAGATGCATCTGTGAGATGGTTGCATGTGCGATTATTAACCCGCAACATGGTGTTTGCGAGGTAACTTGCACAATAATTTAATTTAGAGCATAATTTTCAGATTTTCTATTCAAGACAGTTCATCTTGATAAGTTGGTTTATATCACAGTTGGTTTAGTGAAATGAATTATTGAGTGCCTCCACTTAATAGCTAAACAATTGCTTATGAAAACAAAGTTATCTATATCAGTTTGATATATGTTATATACGAAAGTATATTATTTTCTCCCCTTACAAGTGGTTCATGGCCAGGAACCAAATAATTCCATCTTATTATTATTGATGTGCGGTGTATATTTTGATTAACACCATAAAGCACAAAGATGAGTTCTCAAAGTTGAGGAAACAAGTTAGTTTTTCTAACATGAGGGGGAGACATGATAAATAGTTGAGAAAAAGTTACGTGGAATGAATGATCATTTGTTCATATAGATCCTCGAATAAGATAATATGAATTTGAAGTTCATAAAAAGGATAATTCATGTGCAATTTATTGCAAACCATGCCAGTGCATTTGCTGACCCAAAGAAAGTAACTATATTCTCATTGCAAATGCTCATATTAAGTCCTAGAAGGACAAAGTCTATGGTACGCTTATAGCATACAGACAAATCGGTTTCAAATAAAACTTCTTGATAAAAAAAATGAGCAAATAATCAAAATGATCATAATAAAGGAGGCAAGTGATCTAGAAGATCACATGACATAACACTTCATAAAATCTCATGAAAGATTCATGTACCTGAATATATGAATGAAGAGATCTCTATGTTATGTCTTTATGAAAAAATATTGAAACTAATATAAAATGTTTGTCGACGACATCTATGATAGCGCTAAATATATATATATGAGGATCTTAAGTCTGAAGAAACAATTCGAATAGAATTGGTTTCATATGAAAGACATGTAGTTTTGAACATGTAGTTCAAACACTTGAAAGTATAAAGTCAACGGTATGTGCAATCAGTTTTCGATATCTTATATGTCTAGCATGACATGAAAACTTGATATGCATCTAAAGTCTATTATATGGCTTATATGACTTAACAATCCCTGAAGGATTTAAATTGCTTAAAGCATATAAAATTCATGGTCATGAAGTACTACATCCTCAGTGCAATTTGTGCACAAATGTATCTTGCTATAATTATATGCATGATAATATGATAGCAAGAGTTTTCACCTCTATGTGAAGATATTGAACTGACGATTCCAACAAGATCATATGAAGACAATTCATCTCTATCAAGGATGATGATTTCAAGGTGAAACAAATTCGTTCAAGTTAATATGGCTGATTTGTTTATCAAATATCTACCAACGATCTTTTGAAGATGGTGCACAAGATTGGAATAAAAATGCTTAAGGATGTAAATTGATGCTCTAATCAGGGGGAGTTAATACGCGTTGTACTCTTTTTCCCTTACAAGGTTTTGTCCCACTGGGTTTTCCTTGCAAGGTTTTTAACGAAGCAACCAAAAGGCGTATTGTTCTAGAATTTTTTTCCCACTGGATTTTATTTTAGTTAAGGTTTTAACGAGGCACATTATCTGGTAGATAGACATTCAAGGGGGGGTGTTATAAATAGAATTCTATTTAAGGTGAATGTCTATATTTAGAGAGATTCTAGCATTTATTACTTGGTGGCTAAGTCACCCTCTCCCTATAAATAGAGGGTTCTATTCCATTGTAATTCATCCCAAAATATTAATAAGAATTCTCTCTCCCCACATTTCCCTGCAATACTTTTCTTCTTCTTTTATTGTTTCATAACATATTCATATATGATATTTGTCGACTCATCATGCTGCACATAAAAAAGGTAGTCTGATGCACTAAGCTCCCGCTACGTGCGGTGTCCGGGGGAAGGGCCGGACCACAAGGGTCTATTGTACGCAGCCTTACCCTGAATTTCTACAAGAGGCTGCACATAGCAGATGAAAATTTATATAAAACCTACCCTAGTTATTCGGTATAGTTAGAAATTTATATAAAAACCTACAATTTTATTAAAAGAAACTTAAAAATCGGTTTAGTATCATATATAAAACGGAAAGTTCTATAGAACAACTATAAGACCAATAATATAACAAGTGATATAGTAGAAAAAATACTTGCAGGCATCATATATAAACTATAATTTTAAGCTAGAAGCTCTCTTATTTACAATGAACATAAAAATGGTCAAATTGAAAATCAACTAACAAAACCGTGCTAATATGACTTAAAGCGAACATTAGCCAAGGTTCTAATACAAAATTGTTTTGTTAAAACGTAAAAGAAATTCATATAAAATAAGGCATAAGCCTTTTAAACTTCAACATTGTCTGAATTCTTCAAAAGATGAAAGGAAAAGAAGAACATGGGGTTAATGTTTAATATACAAGAAAACAACATAAAACTTAGGGGAAGATCGTCATACCAATGACAAGAATAGAAGATTTGAAACTAAAGAAATAATCCAATAGCCTATTACCAAAAGCAACTGAAAATTTTGCAGAAATCTGGAGAAGTAAAGAAACTTTATGCACAGTTGAGCAAATGAAAAATTGCTTATTTCCATAAAACCTGCTAGATGTGGCACGTTGACCGAGATGAACCATTCCGGCTACTTAAATTTGGAGTATCTTTCTTCCACATTGCCTCTAAATGTTGAAAGCATCTCAATGGCCTAATAACCTGCATGTCGCAAATTATTCATGATGAAAAGAGGCACTTTATATATCAATAGAATCATACGTTATGCTAACTGCAGCGCAGATATCCTTTGTCCTTAACCAGAGGACTCGGGTTCAAGCCCAGGATATGGAATCGCCTTTGTTTGGAAGTGCTTTACCCTCCACTTTCCCAATGTAGGACTTCCCGATGTGTTCGAAATTAGTCGGGCCCAATGCAGGTACTAGACACCAGCTGGGAATTGCAGCACAAGCCATGGGCATATAACGAAGGTGCCAACATTCAAAGACAAAATTACATGCTACCCTTTTCAATGAACGATAACATGCCACCTTTACTACTCGAAAATGCAAATAACACCAAGACTCAAGGAAAAAGACGAAAATGAAACTAGCTCAAAACGAGAAATAATATTCTATGACCAGGTATGAGGACTGGCCGACTGGGCAAGGACATCTTCCTCGGTACAAAACCAGATCGGAATACTTCTTATTAATCAGATTGTAAGCATATAATACTTGGGCTGGCAATGTTACGCAATTCGTATTCGCTTCACATGAGCTACTTACCACATCAGAGCCTAGATACTGTTTTTTTTTATGCAACTCAGGTGATTTAGCGAACACGTCTTTATTTGATGAAACAAATGGAAAATAGTTTAGTTCATAGATGACTGAAATGTGAAATTCTCAAACATATAAACACCAATCACAAAATTAAATGTACAGAAACAGTAGGAAGGGGGAACGCAAAGATGGAATATTTACCGTCCAATTGTTCTTGCGGTCAAACTTTTTATAAATGGACTCAAGCCTTGGGATAATTTGCTTGAAACTTGGACGCTTCGCTGGCTTGTCACTCCAACACTCCTCAATCAACCTGGAAAACCAAAATCATCCGTAAATATTACCGCATTGGGTACAGCAGAATTGAGGGCATTTTCAAAGATCCCAGTTTACTAAATGCTACAATCTATCAAGTAAAAGACCTGGGTTGATCAGCTATAAACCTACTAATCCGTGAATCAAGATTGATAACATGTGCTACTTTTATTAAAATAATTCTCTTTTTGACATGTCAATTTTATCAGGGATACTGGAAATGACCTCCAGATCCAGCTTCTTACGTTTAATTTTACACCTAAGCCCTTTTGTTCAGAAACTAAATGGGAACGGGACATAGCAGCATCTACAGACACTCCAGAGAGTTGCATACTAAGAAGGTTAGTGTTAGCATGATATATTCGGTTAGTTGTCTCAACAATTTTGCTGCTTATCATTTTTGCATATCATGATTTTGTTAAGATAAACTTGCATAAATTCGCCAAATATAAGGGCACTTCAAAGAAATCGTGACGAATGAAGGGCAGCGATTCTAATTCTGATAAAAGAATGTGTAGGTAAGATTTATCGTAAGTTACTCCCAAATCAATTGGGTGGTGTTCATCATTAAGCAAATGAAAGAACTTGTTCACACCAGAGGATAATTGATTTTCACAAACAATGAAGAAATTAACTTTAAGGAAAGGAATTAATAAACAGACATAACTGATACATATTCTCATACTCCCTCGTTTTCAATTTATGTGAATCTATTTCCTTTTTAGTTAGTGCCGAAAAGAATGATCCCTTTCCATATTTGAAAATAATTTACCTTTATGCAATATGCAATGATTTATAACCACACAATTTATGTGTCTCATTTTACACAAGTTCAAAAGTATTCTCTTTTTTCTTGAACTCCGTATCCAGTAAAATAGGCTCACATAAATTGAAATGGATTGTTTTACAGGAAGCATTGATAGAACTTTCACAATGATTAATTAAAATAACTGCCAAAAATATGTATAAATTCGCTATAAGGATTCATCTAGAATAGCCTAGAATATTCTATTAATTAGGAAATTTGTATCATTATAAGCAAGGTAATATACCTTATTGGAGTAGACTAAATCCTATACAAGGAGTCCCGTTGCATTGAGTTCTACTATCAAGATAAATACTTTCTTCTGTTGTCTCACTCTTCACATGGTATCAAGCCAAAAAGAGAAGACACTCAAGTCTAGGTCCAAGACAAGGAATCCCATATTTACCCTAGAATTGCACGGTTTTTTATAGTCGTAAATTACCGTGGTTTATGGTAGAAACTGAGAGGGAAAAATAGAACTTACTCTTTCAATCCATGAGCATAAAACTTTGCGGGGGCTTTAAAAGGAGGGCGCTCTTTAGCAGCATATAATTTAGGTACATCATTTTCTTCCTTTGCGTGGAAAGGGGGGTAGCCTTCAATCATCTGAAATACAGCAATATCACAAGATAAATCATACCACCTGTATGTGGAAACAGAAACTGCAATATACTCACATCCTGACTCACTAAATTTTATCAAAACAAAGTTACTTTAACTTCAGCAGATATTCAAAGTAAATAGATCAGATCAGGATTAAAGTGAATCATTTATGTGAGTTGCAACAAAATGATACATTAGATGGTAGAAGATGAAAGTATGTATTGCCCGACATAATCACTGTTTCTAACTCATCATGTCACGCTTAAAGCAACAGTATTGCAACCAAGAAGTTATCATTTCGTGGCAAGCGATGCACTTCGAGAAGTGTGTTGTTTGGATAGTGCGGTGCAAGGTGATCTGAGCATGAAGCACTCTATTCTTGGAACTTGACTTCAAAAGAAGTAATAACAGAGAGAGAAAAAAGGAGAAAATCCTCCTCTAAAGTTTAACCAGAACGGAAAGAATTTTACCTCTTGTAAAATTAAAGCAAATGAAAAGACATCAACTTTGGTATCATATTCCTCGTTCCTGAAAACCTCTGGAGCTACATATCTGCCTATTTATTGCACGTGATTTTTTTTTTTAATAAAAGAAGCAGAAAATGAATATGTTAGAAGAAATCCAAATATATGTTCTCGAATATCAATCAACAGGATCAGATCACAACATCTCATTTAAAGAAAGCTTTTCAGAATCTATCAAGCAAATTTGAAAAAACTCGACTGACTGTAGACCAATAGTAATTCTGCATCCATGGTGACAAGCAACATATACACAAACATCCATTTTTAACCCGGTGTACAGCTACCATACCTTTTCCAATAGAGAAGGAATAGAGGTTGAGTGAGTAACTAAGAGAAGCAGTACTCACGATAACTGTCTTCATATGTCAGAGGCTTGTCTTCTTTAACTCTGCTGGTAACTTTCAGTAGCTTGCTTACTCCAAAGTCAGCAACTTTCAGATGTCCAGTATCATCCCGCAAAATATTTCTGTTATCTTGCTCGAAAATAATAAACAATTATTACATGAAGGAACTCAAATCAAGATCATGAAAGCTTTATGATAACTGATGCTACTCAAAAACTTGGCTAGGAATTAGTACGAATACATACGAAGGCTCAAGGTCACGATGAATAATTGCTTCTTTATGTTCATGCAAATAGTTCAGTCCCCTACAACCAAACACAATATATGAAGCTACGAAATTCAACCCATCTTGCTCACGCACATATAATATGTAACAAAAGCAAGGTTCAACATAATATGAATTTGAAAAGTATGACGAAATTACTTACTAAATAGCAAGTGCGACCTGAATGGGAAGAAATATTTGAAGAAAAGGAACAGGGGGATGAATCTCGGTTTTGTTTGAGAATTCTTATACTCAGCAGTAATAATCCAATCCAAGGACTATAATACATTGAAATATATATCCAAGAAAAGTTTTATAAATAATGCATAATGAGAAATTGCCTTTTTAAAATTTTTTCAACCATTTAAACACTAGTTTGCAATTTATAAAGAGTTTATCATATTGGCCAATAGCACAGAGTGGATGTGAACCTCGCGATGTCCATTGCAAATCTGAGAGCTTTTGTTGGTTTAAGCGCTCCTTTTCTATTCAAATATTGACGGAGGTCACCCTGGAAATATACGGCAATGGAAAAGTCATTTCAAAGTGATAGCTTTGTTGGAAAAGTTTCAAACATATTACTTATTCAAAAAGAAGAAAAGAAAAAAACGAGGAGAAAAACAGAGAAACAGATCAACAACATGAAGAAATGGATTGAACTATAAAGTTAGACCATTGTATATAAATGTTGTCAAATATAAGTATGCATATTGGATTATTGGTAGAATTAATAAGAAAGACCTTTGGTAAGTATTCCGTCACTATCATCATAGGACTACTTTGTGTTACGGCACCAAGAAACTGGACAACATTAGGATGTCTTATCTTCTGGAGCAACGCAAGCTCATCTCGAAATGCCCTCCTGCAGAAACCTTACTATTAGAGAATGTAAATCAAAGAATAAATGAGAAGAGCTAAACAATGTGAATAAGCAACTGCAGTTTTCCCCCCTTGTAAGTAGAAAAATAGAAGCAATATCAGTTTTATTCACTCACACTTTATCCTCATCAGCAATCACATCCTCCCCAAACTTTTTTACAGCAACTTGTATTCCACGCCATAAGGCAATATGGAACGTCCCCTACAATATCTTTGGATCAGCAGAGAAGTAGAGAGAAAATTTCTACATTGGAGCAAAAAGATATTCTAAGCCACTTCAGCAAACAATAAAATGAGCCATCTCAAAATTCTTCTAAGCATCAGATTATACCAACATTAATCAGCAGATAGTTAGTCAAGGTGTCAAATGTAATACCCCGGGCGAATCCCAAATCGGCAAACACGGGAGAGATGCCGAGTAACAAGTATATAAGAAAGCATGCCTTAGACCCTAGTGACGTATTTTAAACCCGTGCAGGCCTAGGCCCAAAATGAATCCAATATGCATACTTGTGCGTTAAAGCTTAAAGCCAGAATCTAGATGAACTCCTGTCAATCTCATTAATGGTTAGCGTACCCAACACGACCATAGAGCGCAAGGTTCAATACGTGAGATGTAACATCAACTGCTAGAAATACATTTAAGGAGGTGCCAGCTAACCCTCGACTGAGTCCCATGTGAAGCTCCGCAATAGTCTTGTCAATTTTCTTGTCACGCTAACCTGTGCTAGTAGCAGAGACATGAAATAACTAACTAGGAATGCTCGATAGAGTGCTTTTTTCAATCAACACTTACTTTCCCCCTTTTGACAATATCTTTTCTGCCAACATGTAAGTATTTTCGCTACCACTTTCTTCTATAGGATTCCACATTGTTGTGTTTCTATTTGATGAGCCCAACGGTGGAGCACCTGTGCCAAAACTGTCAAATTATTCACTTCAACCACTAGGATGATCTCACACTTCCACGGTCGAACTTTTGACCAAACATTGCCTGAAACCAAGTAAGCAACTGTCTCAAGGCTTTCAGCTGGTTCCTGTTGGCATTGCAAATACTAGAATATAGTCTGTGAATTAGAGGTTTGTAACTCTAGCAATGCCTTTCAGTTTTCATACACCTTATCTTCTTTCCTTTCAATTTTTATTTTCAAAAACTTCACTCACGGGATTGCATAGAAACAGTGGTTTCTTACTTCGCCTTGTCCTTTCTCCCTTCTCTTTCCTCTACCATTTCCCTGTTCTCGTCTTCTCTCAATTTTGGAGTAGATATTATATTCTCAAGTAACCTTTAAGGCTTTAACGTTTTCCCAATGCCCATCACATGTATTTTTCCTGAACCTGGTCCTTTAATATATGACTATCTGAAATTCTTCAATGACAGGCTAACCATAAACTAGTCTGTGGAAACCCTAGAAGCAATTTTAAATAAGAAACTGTACATTATTACAGCTCTAGAATCTTTGACGGGACAGGTACCAGTCTAAAGGCTCAAGTCAAAATTCCCTAGTTGATATCAAGTCATAAACATCAATGGCTACCAAAAACTACAACCAGTTAGCCTAAAGGCAAAGTATCACCAAAGAAAAAAAAATTACGACTGCAAAAGGAAAAGAAATATGACACAACAGTAAAATTAAATAAATAAGACTAGGAAGACATGAGCGAAAAAAAATATATTACCTTGCTCAACTCAATGCTATTAGTAAAATCAAGTTCTTTAGCATCGATTTCATATTCCGGCACTTCACGACAAGTATTAACATGCATGGGAGCCATCTGGATGAAAATTAATTTAGACAGACATCAAAAGCCAAGCAACTCTTATCACAATAAAGAAACTAAAAGCTTTTTCCCTGATCAGTAGCGAAAATGCAAAGCAAACTTACTGGAGGCTTGGCACCGTGTTTCTCCAGTAGCTTGATCACTTCATGATTTTTATAATGTATTGCATCTGCAAGCGGCTGCTCAAGAAAGATCAGATTGTTGCCAAAAATATAAGCTAATAGGAAAAACAGGAGCACTCAAATTTCGTTCCAACTAAAAGTGTGTCCCTAAAAATTTGAGAAATAACATTGTCACTTGTACATTCTTTAAGTTTCCTAGAATGCTCCGAGGAACAATACTCCAGTGTCCATGAGATTGCACAGCGTTAATATGAACCAACAGCGAACTAAACCTCTGCCCTATCAAATAAATTTCATAATTTTTCTTCAATTAGTCAAATGACTCTTACACCCTAGGGTCACAGCCTAAGGAGATTGAAGAAATTATAGTAGATATAGGAGGTTGAGAAACTGGCAGTAAGACAATCTCAGACAAAGAGTAAGAATTACAAAAGGCTAAGATTTCTCAAACCAGCTCAAGTCCTGGTTCTCCTGATTACATTTTGTAATCTTAAACCAAAAAAATAAAGAGGAAAAAATGGATTTGCTATTTATACTACTCATCCTCCCACTCTACAGTATATTTTATTGTCAAAACTCTATAAATATTTGCACTACTCCCAAAGGAAGAAGAAAAGAAACAGCTAGAAGGAAGCAGGAGCCAGAAACAAAGAGGGAGGCAGAGGAAATGAGGAGAACAGAGCGGAGAGGAGCGAACCATCAGTTTTTAGGGTGTAGGACTAAAACTGTCCAAATTTTACATACATTAAGCACTATTTCCATTAAGTGGTATATATTAAGTACCAAAATATTTCAACCCTCATACATTAAGGACCAATTTGATCATTTTCTCTTGTTGTGGTATATGTTTAAGATGAAGAACAACTATTACATCTCCATGCATATGTCCTCATCTTAAACAAGAGTCACACATCATGTAACTTTGAAAAACAAAAATATCTTAAAGCGAACATCTATCAAATAAAGTATATTAAACCAGACAAAAGCCGGCGGTCTACAATATTTACATGACCTAGGATGGTATTAATATCCAGTCCACCACCCTTGTTATGGTTTAATATTAATTCTTTGTCATGTCCACCCTCTAGGATATGATAATAACCTTAGTAATGCCCCAAGGGTGGCCTAACGGTTGAAGCGCTAGAGTGATAATCTTGGAATCAAAGTTCAAATCCCAATTGAGACTACACAAGGAGTACTCTTTCTATCTGCCTAAACCATGCCGGGTAAAGTTGCGCAGTACCTGTGTTAGCGGATGGAGATACTAGGTGGAATAGTTGAGTGTCCACAAACTGACCCGGACACCAAATATTAACCGGTAAAATTGGGCAAAAGGAAGGGAATACCAGGCAATTGAGCAATACTACTTTGAATAACCAGCTACGAGCCCAAAAGTAACCTTCTTTTTCTCATAAGCTGTATACCAGAAAGTAACTATACCAACAACATCAAACCAACAGAAAATCATAGTGATATTCAGAAACGGATGTAGTGCATAAGTTAGAGGTTCATCCAAATCCAATAACTTTAGTTTGGACCCTCTTTATACAACAACAACAATAACAACAACAACGACAAACATAGTGAAATCCCACAAGTGGGGTCTGGGAGGATAGTGAGTATGCAGACCTTACCCCTACCTTGTAGGTAGAGAGACTGTTTCCGATAGACCCTCGACTCACGGAAAGCAGCTCAAACCCTCTATAAGTGTTAATAAACTTACTAAATGAGTATAAATAAAAGGTCTGGAACCTAGTAAACTGAACTCAAACTCATAGGGGTCGTTTGGTTACCTTGTGGGATAGACAACGATATCTATGGGTAGGATATCCCATGGGATTAGCTATCCCACCCTCTATATGGGGTAGCTAATCCCATCATTTTTATATAAAATTTATCCATCCACTAGCTAATACCCATAATCCAACATGGATTAAATACAATCCCATATTCTATCCCGGGATTAGTATTCTTATCCCGGTAACCAAACAACACGTAATGTTCAAACCATGGATCCGCCTCTAGTGACAATCAAACATCCACAAACCAAATAGCCAAACAATTTACATGTAACAAAAAGTGATATGATCATCATTGTACCGTGCTACCCCAACGATCTTTAGGATCAACTTGAGCACCATTATCAAGCAACAGCTGCACAACATCAGTGGAACCTTGGCAAGCAGCAACATGAAGTGCAGTCCTCTTATCAATGTCCCTAAAATTAACATCAGTTCCACATTCCAATAGCTCTTTTATCCCTTCTATATCAGCCTCGTTCGCTGAATACATTAGCCTTACCCTTGGATCAATATCAATTACAACCCCATCTTCACCATCTTCCCTTTCACCTCTCTCTGGTGCTAAAGAAGACTGTTTTCCCAATTTGAATCTTACAGGTGAATTGGGTTGTTCCATTTTTTCAAGTAAATGACACACAAATTACACTAAAACACTCAACAATTAATCTTGAAATAAACGTACCAAAAAAAATATTCAAGAATCCACAATTGCAAATGGGTATTAGCACAAATTAGTGCTTGAATCGAACCTTTCATCAAATTGGGGAATAAAGATTAAGAAAGTAGTTGGGCAGTGGCTAGAGAAGTTACGAAAAAAAAATGTAAAACCCTAAAATTTTGAAAAAATTAAAGGTTTAAAATTCAAGAATCTCCTTTACAATTAAGGAGGTAGGTCCAATTCTAAAACAAGAATTTGCTATAATTCATTACAAAATAAAAAAGGTGACGTTTAAATTTGGAAAATTAGAAAAAAAAGTTCTTATTTCTAGTATTTCACGCCTTCACTCATTCCTGATTTTTTTCTTTTCTCCAGCGGTTTCTGACTATAAAACAGCTCACAGAAATCTAAAAGCGACAAAACTTTATGCAAATAAAGAGAAAACAGAAGTTATACTGATTTTTTCAAAGGGTTTTAAGTAGGCATGACGACAAAGTCGCCCTTTTTCCTTTGATTTACTGTCAATTTTCCATTTATTCCACCCTACATGTGACTCTATTGCCCTGCAAATTCCAACCACATATAATTGAACTTTGCTCCTCTTATTTTTTATTTTTTATGCAGTAATTAAAAAATAGCTAGATTTACAAGTGATAATTAAAAAATAACCACAGTTTCAAGAGTAATCGAAATACAGTCACTTTTCATGTAAAAATAAATCAGAAGGAAAGCATTATTCAAAATCCGGAAAATATTCCAGCATAATATACTGGAGTTCGAATTTTTTACATGTGAACTTCCAGCATAATATACTGGAGTTCCAGCATAATATGTTGGAAGCTCATACACAGGTGCTCCAATCTCCAGTATATTATGCTGGAACTTTCTGTGTGCTGGAGTTCCAGCATACTATGCTGGAAGTTCATACACTGGTGCACAAATCACCGCGTTGCAGCAAAATAGTGGCTATTTTTCAATAACTTTACAAACGCATTACCAGCCCGAAAACTGGCTAGCCCGTGCTATTTTCACTTCGTATTATGGTTCAAATTCATACCATATAGGGTCAATTAAAAAGAAAAATATTCCTACTATAATTTTTTCTGTTCACTTACTTGACCTGAAATTTAATGAGTTCAATCTTATTGTTACTCTAATGGATAAATTAGTGAATGGTTGTTTAGTCAAAGGTAGATGGATCACCAATATTTATTAGGTGTCAACTAAATCTTACGTTTTCCAATTCGTACAGCTGCATCAACTATACATTAACAAAAGAAAAATGGAGAAGAGTAGGCAATTGGTTACATGCACTTAGGCTTTTTCTTCTTTAGGATATTAATGATTGGCTATTTCTAATTATGTATATAAGTCAAAGAAACAAACTCATGAATATTTTCTCTTCTTTTTTTTCTCTTTGCAGTCGTTGATATTTATTTAACATATCTTGAGTATGACCAACAGGAATTATGATAAGGGAACGATTTACCCCCAATATGATACTTTCAGGCTCGAAGTTGAATTTAGTCTGCCAGACACCAGGAGGAAACCAACAAATAAACCTCTCTTAAGTATGTTGTGTTCTCATTTGTTGAATAATTTTTGAACTCCAAAAATTTTCGTTCTTTGATAGAGAGAGAAACTCTCTCCCCTCTCTCTACATTCCCTACCTCTACCTCCATTTTCATGGAAGCTGTCTCACTATCCACTCACTCAACCTCCCAAATCCCACCCAAACCATCCGATATACAGCAATATTGTGAACAAATTAATTCGCATAATCCTTCTTCTAGTAGGGGAAACCAATTGATTGATGTAGAGAACCCCCTCCCACCAATTATGTTGGATACTATACCCCTACCTCAAGGTTCTCCATATAAGGAAGCACTTCTATTGGACACTATTAGCGGCCAGATTACTCAAAATCCCATGCAACCACGAACCACTCAATTTTTTCCCATGCAACTAGTATAATTCCTATGGTCTGCCTAGCCATATGGCCACTCCACAAAACACCATAGAATCAAATGATAACCTACAAGTTTCCTTTTCAGTAGGTGATCTTCAAAGGATATACCAACCATGGAAATACTCTCTCATTATTAAGCTCATGGGAAAACGTATCATCCACCAATATCTCAAAAGAAAGATATACCAACTGTGGAAGCCAAACGAGAAATTCACCCTAATGGATCTAGGGGCTGATTATTTCATAGTAAAATTCTCCAAGGAGGAGAATATGTCCAGAGCCCTTAATAATGGACCGTGGTTCGTTAATGGATATCATCTATCCGTCCAAATGGGAACCTCATTTTGTAGCAAGTGAGGCAAAACAATTAAAATCAGCCGTGTGGATTCGATTACCTCAACTCCCTACTGAATTCTATGACTTAACCATTCTCCAAAAAATAGGGAATACTACAGGTCGTTTATTGAGGATTGATGCCTGCACTTCCTCAACTTTAAGAGGAAGATATGCTCGACTTTGTGTTGAAGTTCCTATGGACAAACCAGTAAAGCCATTTGTCTATATTGGAAATTACAAACAACAAATACACTATGAGGGAGAAAAATTTTTATGTATTAAGTGTGGGAAATTAGGCCATAACCAATTAAAATGTTTAGTACCCTCATCACCCCAAAAAGCAAATGATATCCATAGAACAATCACAGGACCTCAACAACAAGACTCCTCAAGCAATTGGGTAACTGTCACGTTCTGCAAGAAGAAGAAAGCCAATGGAGTAAGCCAAGGTTACCATGCAAAGGGCAATAGTCAAGGTACTCATCTGAACTCATCTCACACAGTTACAGGTATGATCTCTCAACCTCATAATGATTCCTATTATACCCCTAAAAATTTGAATAATGAACCATCCTATACTACTGGTACCATGCCAAAGAATAAACAGTATAAGGAAAAAAACAGCTTTCCCAATTCTGGCAAGAATCCAAACATCTTTGAGGCTCTGAACTCCATAGAGCACATGGTTTTGGGAGATGGTTTAGAAGACAATCCGGATCCAATCCCTGCTGCCAATGCATGCTAAGTAGAAAAGACAAAATTAAACATGTGTCAAGTAATAATCCCACATTGGAACCACATTCCAATCATTGCAAGAAGCTTCCACTAAAGACAAACCTAGAAATGACTTGATTGCCCCTAATCTACCATGCACCACTAGTGCTAATCCTGATCAAACTACTACCCCTACCCACCCTACACTACACTTGGCCATGCATGCAAAGGAGGATGTCCAAATGGCAGAAAATTCAGAGTCCCTAGCAAACTCAATATCCTCCAAGGATATTATATATCAACACACGCTAACCCAATTACCGGACATGCATGAAAAGACCATTATTGCAATCAACAATCCTACAAACTCTATAACTCCTACTACCGGTATAAACGTCTTTAATACCAGCCAAAACAACAATGCCAAGACTACCTCTAACAGCAAGAAGAAGATTACGGTTAATTCACCTAACAAACCAACTCAGACCCTCTCAAATGGCCAACCCTCCACAACTTCCTCCTCAACTACAGAACCAACCCCTCTTCTTCACACCACCCCCCCCCCCCCCCAGAACTACCACCGAACGTAACCCAACCCGAACCCGTC